TTTCGGTGTAGGGTAACACTATTTTTTCTATCTAGTTATTTAATTTGAGATTGAGTGGATCAAAAGTACATAAAACAGAACAAGCACATAAAAACCCTTTGTGAGGTTTGCCACAAAGGACACTGAGACTGTCAGAGTCAAAAAGATAAATACAAACTGATTTGCAAAGAACATTTACATACTCAGTAATTCTGATCTGAGCATGCTCTGTTGTCTTTTAAAAAATTGTACCATATTTGACTGTTTCTCCACTGGGGAAATAGTCTTGTCATTTATCATGAGCAACAGTAGTGATTCAGCAGCAATACAATATTTGTAGTCCTAACATATAAAAAAATTAATACATAAAACATGATGCAGATGTATTCAGAAAAAGTGCTGTCATTTGCAATTGTCTGTACGTAGCGCCTTACTAAAATCTATGGCATAATTTCTCACCAATGTGAGTTGTTGTGGAAAGGATTTAGATTAAGGATGGTTTAGGACTAATTAATTTCATAAGTAAATAAATGTGAATAAAATAAATATAAAATAAATAGATAAAACTAAAAACATTTAATTTTGATGTTCAAAACTATTTAGAAGTTTAATTACTGCAAGCTTAACTTTCAGCTTCTATATAATGCCATTTAACTCCGTGAATGAAACAAGGCAGTGAGTAACAGTCTGCAAGATATTTATTTACCAGCACTACTTCGAGTTATTTATCTTTGATGCCTTTGATGGCTACACATCAAGAGACTTAAGCTTTGGCTCAGATCTCAAAAAAGGAAGTAAGTCCCCACAGGTCTCTACAGCACATTTCTCTGGGGGAGGAGGAGGAGGAGAGCACTGAGGCAATAATGTCCTTGCAGAAAGCTCAGCCTGAATCTATTGTCTCCCTCCCAGAAGTAGGTAAAAGGGCACAGTGACAGTGGGCTGCAGAAATGGAAGGTGAGGGCTGGGGCTCTGTGGAGCATGGTGGAGATAACAGAAAGAACCTGCACTGAGATGCTGGGCCAGGCAATTCTTTCTCTGAGTCAGTCAATGAACACTATTCACAGAAACCAAGTGGGCTGTTAGGACTTAGAAATGAAAGACTCGTATTTCAGTATGCTTTCTTACCAGACAAATGAAGTCTGTGGGTGAGCATGTAGCCTCATCTGTAGAAGAAGGCTGTGACACAGGAGAATCCATAAGAGAATGTGGGAGTCCTGGGCAACTGCCACCCAGAACATGTATCACACACTTGTTCACTTTATTGTTAACATAGAAGCGAGAAAGTAGATAAAACCCAGAGAGCTATTGAGCCAAGCTGCTGTCCAGCTTTGTTTGAAAATGATCTTTAGTCTATATACATGAGTCTATATTTTTCCTCTCACTCCTCTCTCAAAAAATGTGAATTGGCTGAATGAAAGCCTGGAATTCAGACATTTATAATTCCACCTGATGTTTTTTAGTTCTTTTCCCTGATTAGTGCAACTGCATATGGTTTTCTGTGTGTAAGGGCCCTAATAATTCAGGAGAATTTTGTAGTGTGCAATGACAATAAGGATAATATTCATTATATATTATTCCACTGTAAGTCATAGTAAGAAAAAAGACTAGTGCTTTCTACTGTTCCCAAAGCCACTGGATCAACACATGTTGGTATTATCTCCCCTTGAAGGGCAGTGTCACCATCTCATCCTAAATGTTCAAAATGTTTTTCACTTACCCCTTTTTTCTGTCTGGGGTCCAAACAAGGAAAATGTAGCTCAGAATAGAAGACAAAGTATTTCTTGTAGATACAAATACCAGTCTGCAAATCCTACACCAAATCCTGCTTGACCCAACATGTGACAGACCCAGTTTATGAATGAACCATATCTTTATCTTCCATTGAAGGAAGTGAAAGCATCTAGCCTTCAGTTCTCTTGGGCCAATAGCTGGACACCAAAATATCTTCAATATATAAGCATGGCTTTATTTCTAACACTTGGCACACTTTGAATTTCTGGCTGGTTCTTTGTGAACATACCCCTACTTATTTTCTTCAGATTTACTAGAAAAATTTAAGCTGATGATACATAGAGGGTGTGAACTTTTTTACTTTGCTGTGGTAGGTATGGGCAGGGGAGCATTTACAGCTCCTGTAGCACATTAGTGTGAACAACAAAATCGTTGGCAATGGCAAGCTGCAACACTGAGGTTTTTATTTCAAACTTGAGAAAGTCAAATCTCCAGGTGACAACATGCACTTTTGAAAATGGCAAAGATTTTCAATTTTTGGCCCCTTACTGAAAGAAAGACATTGAGGTGCTGGAGAATGTACAGAGAAGGACAATGGAGTCTGGAGCACAAGAACAGCTGGGGGTGCTGGGTATGTTGAGTCTGAAGAAAAAAGGAGACCTTATCACTCTCTACAACCACCTGAAAGGAGGTTGGAGCCAAGTGGGGGTTGGTCTTTTCTCCCAAGTAACAATTGATAGGAAGAAAGGAAATGGCCTCAGGTTGCACCAAGGGAAGTTTAGATTGAATAATAGGAAAATTCCTTCATGGAAAGGGTTGTCAGGCATTGGAACAGGTTGCCCAGGGAAATGGTGGAGTCACCATTCCTGGAAGTATTTAAAAGATATGTGAAAAGATATTTAAAAGATGTGACACTTCAGAACATGGTTTACTGGCAGACTTGACAGTGCTCAGTTAAGGGTTGGACTCAATGACCTTGATGGTCTTCTCCAACTTAAATAATTCTGTTTCTGACCACCTTTTTCCTTCTACACTCATGACTACGGTAGTTCCAAAGACACGTTGAAGCAGTCAGAAAAACAGGCACAACGAAAGGAACTGATTTTTCCGTAATTGTTTGATTCCTTTCTCACTCTGCTCTCCTGCTGCTAACTGGCATAGCAAGTCTTTCCACATGCTGGTGTCCCACATTTAACAAAGTGATTCCCTGGCACTGTTGCATTTGGTTTTCATGGTACTGCAGCAGTGCAAACTGGGAACCGACAAAAATCCACCCCACTCAGTGTAAACATTTCCAAGCCCAGGGTAGACCAATAATAATTTGTTATTGATATCCATATTGGCTATGATCTCTGCCCCTGTCATGTGGGGGTAACTATGTACTCAACCCACAAACATTAGCAGAAATAGACGTAGGAGTTGAATAAACCTATCAGCCTACTATAACATGTAAAACTGTGCCATATCCTGTTAGATTCTCAGAGAAGAGCTTTCATTTAAAAATGAAATTTCAAATGAAATTTCAAATTTCATTTCATTTAAAAAGCTCAAAAAATAATCTTTACAAGTATATATGGTTTTAAATGTCAAACATTTAACATGCATTTCACCATAAAAGACTTCACGGATGAGTTTGTGAGGCTATTTTATCTGCCAAGACCGGATTTTAAGATCATGTGTCTACACTGGTGAGAATTGCTAAGGTTGCAAAAGCCAGACATGTGACAGGAAATTTCATTCTTCATCCTCTTAGAGGTGTTAAAGACATGTTTATGCCCCATGGGAAAAATGGGGGACCAAGAAGCCACATCTTCATGTGAGAGACTGGGTGCCAGTGATTTTCTGTGGCAGGTCACAAATCAGGTTGATAAAGAGATGCTGTATGCAATATGCAAGCTAGTGTTTAATACAGCTTAACGTCTTGACCTTGCTTCTATTTAACTCAGTCTCACATTCACGTGCTAGCAGCCAACTTCTCTTAGCTGCAATTATGGATAGGTTGCAAACTTTTTGACTAACTATGTATTTCTAAAGACCCCAGCAGCTCTGATTGGTGCACTGAGGATTTAAACACTGTGTAACTGAGGTCAGCAGTTTTGCAGAGACATGTGACTGAGGGAATGGAAGGTGTCCCTAATGAAAATGTTGTGTCTTTTCCTTCCGAGTTGAAATGCTCACAATGTCCATTTATCTCAGGAAGGTTACTGTTCTAGCAGCCTGAATAAATAAAAAGCTGAAGATCTTGAGCGACAGAATTTCATCAGCAGGCTCCCCTGGTTGCTTTTTAGTTGAATGCACCTACTAATCAAATGGTGTAAGTCAACAAGCTGAAGACAGGAAATTATCCAAGATTCTCTGTTCTAACTCAATCAGTTGCCTAGAAACTCTGCAGGTCACAGGCTTGAAAATTGACATGTTTAAGCTTGCCTTTTCCCACCTGATTTCAGTTGGAACCAATGCCTTCCCAGCAATTTTCCAAAGGCCCCATGAGAAAAATTTAGACTTTTTTCTCCTGATTGTTCAATAAATGACACTATGCCCTATGTAAAATGCACTGTTCAAACTCTTGTCCTAAATACTAAATAAACAATTTTTTTTTTACTTCTATGTTTCTGAGACCTGAATATTTCAGGGGCTTCTCCAGAGTATCTTGGGGAAAGACCTGAAAGAATCACACCTTGCTGTCCTCTACAAATCCACTTTCATCAGCAGCAGCATGCAACCCAAAGTCTCTCTTCCTCCTGTTAACTGCTGTCCAGATCTCACCCTCTGTCATCTACCCCGAGTTTGTACTACCAGTTTGCCTTTTTTGGTCTCATCCTCACCATTTCAGTGCTTACTTATCCACAGTTTCCTACCCTATCTCTTACCACTGCCTGTGTTCCAGGGGGATTTCCCTTTGATCCCTGCACTGCTTGACTGTCACAAGGTGAAGCAACAAAAGTACAAAAGGCTTATTCTCACAGCTTTCAACTGCTGAACCATTGTAGCCCTAAAGTGGGGTCTATTTGGTGTATCCAGGATTCTAGGAGAACAGGATTTCAAATAGGCATGATTTAGCAAGTCTTAAAGACCAATCATGTTTTTCAGAATTTAGGGGGTGGGGCAGGGAAAAAAGAAAAAATCCTAACAAGATTATTTCTGCCTTTGTGCTTACTCACCTACTCAAAGTTGTGTTCCTGAATATTTCCTTATTGCCTCAGCAATTGCCTCGTACAGCTAAACTCTGCATGTAACATCCTGCCAAAGAAAATGCAAAACTTTTCCTCTTAAATGTTGACCAGACTTACAGGCAGTTCCCTAAGGAATTTGTCTCGCCATCTCACTGCTGATGTTTCCGTGCTGCAGCAGATCAGATTTCCTCTATGAGTAAGATCTGCAGAAAGGAACAAACAAGAAATCTTTTAGGGAAAAAAAAAAAAAAAAAAAAAAAAAAAAGTCATATATAAAGATAATTGCAAAGAGTGACAATGACAAACACTGATAGCATTTCTATTTTCTTTCACAGCCTCAAATATATGGTTTCTTAGCTGTAAAACATACCTGTGCAGGACTGCCAATGCTTCAGATTCTAGACATCTTAAGATGAAGAAAAAAGAGCACATATTTGTTGGTTTGCTATTTTCCCTTTTCATTTTTGCAGATGTGGATCAGGTGCAGGGTATCTCACAGTAAGTAGCCCTAGTTACTTCTTCATGACCTTAACAAGGTGTAATTTCTGTTCTTATTTCAAGATTTAATCTGCAGTTGGGAGAGCAAGGATTTTCAATTCACCATCTGCTGAGCCCAAATTATTCATGCAGTACTGTGAAAATGTGACAAAAATGTGCAGCTCTTGATGACCAAACTTGCAGATCCCTGGCTCCAGCCTGAACAACTCTTGGATCCTGATCAGTATGTGTGCAAAAAGGCTGAACCTCTCTGTTAGGATATCAATGACAGCTAAAACCCAGTATTTAATTATTGATTTGTTGCATGAAGCATACACAGATTTCTCTCTCTTTCTCTGAGTATTCAGCTTTAGTTAAATATTCATCAACACTGAAAAACAAGATTAACAATAGAAAAATTCTGTAAGGACAGAAGGCTTCCAATCAAAAATACATGAAAAGAGACTGGATCAGACATTACCAGATTCAAAGATATATAAAATTAATCCTGTGGGATATTTCTGATTGATTAGCAAGTAATTTAGATAAAAATTGGATTACATTACCCATTTTAAACCTATTTTAAGTAACAACCTTAACTCTCAGGCTGCTTCCCTCTCAGGTTTCCTGTGTATAAATAGTAAGCCCAAGAGGAACACCAGCTTGACTTTCCCATTTGAGAGCTGGCAATAAGAATAATCAAGCCAGAACAACAATCCCACAGTCATTTAATTATAAATAGAACTCATTTCATCCAGGAGCTCCGGAGGCAGTAGTCAAGGTCCAAATTGTAATGTCATTTCTGTAATGTCATTTTTCAGAAAAGAGCTACATTTTCAAGCTCCTTTTGCATGCTGTGAAGAGCATGGAACCGGTGTCAATAAATATGCCTGATAAGAAAACCTCCATTCTGTCCAACTGAAAGCTTTGCAAACATTAGTTTTCAGCAGCGAACCCCCCTGAACTTCTGTTTCGAAACAACTTTTTATCTGGGAACTGTGCAAATGTGAAGTTTTTAAGTGGCAACATATATGCACAACACCAGCACATATTTTAGATGTGAGGTGACACAGTCTTGGTGTGCCTTCATTTTCAAACAGGACAGGGGAGTCTACCACAATAACTTGCTGTGGCTGAGTTGTGTCTGGGTTTCTCCCCTCTGGCCACTTGATCAGAATGAAGCAGTTACTGTGGCAGACCAAAGCTACCATACAGTGAACGACCTTTCTGCTATTTGTTTTCAGTGCTGTTACACATAACCCCTCCACATAACAAACGGCACCCTCCAACAGAGGAGTGCACCCTTTCCCCCATCAAACAAAGATACTGATGCTGAAAGAGCACTGAGAGCAAACATTTTATATCACCTGAGTTGGCCTTTTCTGCACTAACAGTCGTCAGTGAAAGCCTAATTATCTGCACAGGCAGACCTATCTGAGTTGAACCCAAACCCATGCTGCAAGACAGAAGGTGAATACACGAGCAGTGGGTAAGATGCTGGTGGGTGACAGGGAATGCCTGGATTCAGTTTGCTCTTCCCACACAAAGCTGCTGAGCACTTTCCCTTGAGCTGTGCCTATTCATTAACTGGGAAATGTGACTGCAGGGTGGTAGGCACATCTCAGCCAGCTTTCCTCCAGCAAACTATGGCATAAGCTTCACGAATTTACCAACTAACACCATACAGACATATAAAAAACAGCAAATTTCTTAGCACTGATGTTCAAAATAAGACTAAGGCTGATGCAAATACTTCTACCCCTGCCATAGCCTTTTCCCTAGCAGAACAGTGACATGTTCTCTGGTTGTTTCTAAACTGACACAGCTGTTTGCAAGGGAAGACTGGGGTTCTTGATCAGATTGCCTGCATGGGGCAGCTGCAAAAGCCAGGGTACCAGTCTGATACCAGCTGAGGTTCATATTAAGTCCCCATGTGTAGATGCAGTGACAAAACATCATGTAGATCATTGAGTCTGTTGAGGGTGTAGTTCATTACAGAGGTTCAATTGCTACTCTAACAGCAATTTCACAAGTAAAGTGGAAATAATTTAGGAATGAAGTGCCAACATGGATGGAAAATTTGTGTCTGAATCAAACCAATGCTGTTAAAAGTCCTAACTAGATTCTCCTGACTACTATGTATAAAATCCAGAAAACGTTTAAACCAAACATTCAAGGAGTCAATATCCAAACATTGAAACTGATAACAAGCAAAGACTTAAAAACCCACAAACGCAAAAACTCCCCTGAGTCTTAAAAAACCCACAAATGCCATACCAGTGTATGATTTCACTCAGGGATCAGCAGGGCACATACAATTTCCCTTTCTGTATGGTGACACGATGACAGCACATTACTGCAATAACTTCCCCACAGATGGCTATTTTATGCTTGTTTCTGAACTAAAGGTTTTCACACAAATAATCTCTCTCCTTATCTATTGAGAGGCAATAAATGTCATACGCAAAAGTGCACTGTGTTGTGGGACTGCCTTCTGGTGCCTGTCTGAGTTCAGCTTTTATGCATCAAAAGACCCTGATGAAATTGTATCATCCCATGATATTGTTCCACAGTCACTTCACTGTGTGTTTTGGGCTGTTGCAAACTGTTGGAGCAGTCTCAGGATGAGTACAGTACATGATTCTGCAGTAGCTAAAGATAGATATCAGGTCCAGATTTACAGCTAAAACTGGTCCAGAATTAGCTGGGTTTGATTTTTTTTTCCTGTTCCCCACTATGTAGAAGTTAATTTTTCCTCTTTTTAGAAACAGAGCTGAAGATACTCTATGATTTTTACTACTCTGCCCACTAAAGCAAACTGTGCACTTGAGAGCTCCTTATTTTGTTAGTGGTTACTGCAGAGTGAACTCCTTAAAACCGGTGATGAGTTTTCTTTCTCTTTTACTGCAGCATTTGCTGTAATAAATCTGACTTCTAAATATGTGCAACATAATTTCTTAATTATCTTTGCTCTATTATTATGACATACAGTTTTTCCTTTATTTCTACAGCTCACACTCATCTGGCACAAAGAGACACATGTACTTCTTGGATTTTAAAGAACTTTGTTCTCGCTTCAGATGTAAATAATAGGAGGGAGAAAACATCAGTCTTGACTGAGTCTGGCTGCTCTGAGAAACTATTATGAATAAACAATCAAGAAGTGAAAAGCTGTACTCCTTACCTGGTCTGAGAGGTACAGTGCACCTTGAAAGCCTCTTAAATGACACAGAAGAAATAGAAATAGTTGAAAGTTTTTACTCATCCAACCAGAGGACTCAGGAAATGACTATTTTGCAACGATTAACTCCTTCCTCACTTCGAGGTCCTTCAAGTACAGCTCCACTTCAGTTTGGTAATGAATGCTCTGCCCTACACATGATTTCTATTTCACACTGAGAATATGCAGGTGGCCAGAGGAGAAGACTCTGATCACCTCTGTGAAAGACAAAAACGGCAGTGTCTTCTGCATAACTGTGACCAAGTACATTTTACTGTTGAGTGACACTTATGTAACAAAATGCAGAAATGACCCAGAATAATGGCTTGAACTCCCAACTCTCATTTATAGAAGAAGTTTAGAGCAGTGGAGCAACATTCTCATCATGAATTCAGTGTTGTGGTGCCCAAGAGAGCAAGGTAAAAAATGAGATTATTTGAAGGAGTGGCATCCATTGCAGCCTGGACAAGCATTGCATATACATATGGTGTATGATACTTTTATACACAGAGGCTCTCCAGCTGAAAGTCAGGCATCCTGGAGTATCAGGAGTTAGTCCTCTGCACATAAAACCCCTCTGTGCCTGAAAACCTGCCCCCTTTGCCTAAATGTATCTGTTTGACTAAAAGGCATTTCTGAGATTTAGCATATAAACACTCACTAGCCTGAAAGCTATTAATAGCCAGCTGCCCACAAAAGCACAAGCTACTTCTGGGGAGTGGACACCTCCATACAGAACCCAAGGTGGTACCTGGGCTTCTGAGCCTGTGGAGACACCCATATTGGGGTTTTCTGAGACAGGAATGGGGTTGTCTTGCCTAGCTCTGGGAATTTGCACTGTAGATGTCTACACCAGAGTTTGTCATTCAAGACACTCTTGAATATAGGCAGTGGAAAAAAAAATACCTTTGCAAGATTCTTTATCTGGGAATTTTAACATCCAAATAAATTTCTTCTGTTATATAGATACATATGCTCGCATGGGGGTTTTTTATGCAATCAAGATTTTATAAAAACTACAAAAAATCCTTATTCTCTGCAAGTTAAGTCTTACCTTTGTTTTCCTAATGATTATTTCCAATAACAAAGACTCAAGAGGCATGCTCCCACAAAACACTGATGAGGCTGGTCTGCACTTGAAGTTTATCCTTTTACAGTACACCACAGAAATAATGAAGATACTTAAGATCCTAGATCTGAGCAGGTGCTTAGTGTTGTCTTGGAATGGAGGACAAAACATTTGTGTGACTCCTCAAGCTATGGCTATTGATGCCATAGCTTTGTATGCAGATACACCAGGGCATTTTACTTTGAAAACAGTTGCAGGATGGAGACTCAAGTTCTTGCTTTAACTCATCTCACTTCCACATATAAAAAATTGAAACCAACTGTCAGTATTCTCACTATGAGCCACAGGTAAACAGGAAGGAGTTTCAGTCTCATAGCCTGAAAGAGTACAAAATATATTTAATAGGACCCCCTAAAAGCTCCTCCAAAAAATGAGATTTGATTTGTTTCTTTGGTTGCTATTTTTTTAACAATCTTCTTTTAGTTCAAATACAGCAGACCGGAAATAGAGCTTTTTCTTTTCTACTTTTTGATCATATAGTCTACAAATAATTAAATTTTTTCAACTTTTAATTCATTACCATTTTTAAAGAAGCTTTCCTCTCTAAAACTGGGGAAAGAAACTTTCAGAATGAAAAGACCCTGCATGTACTTTTGGTAAAAAGCAATTAAATTCTACAGTTCTGGAGTATTATAATGAATATATTATTAATTAATGCTGCAGTACAATATACTGTGATAGATCATAACACAGTATAATGAAAATTATTTAATAATTAAATATACTACTTCTACAAGGTAGTCAATATGATGACTTTCATTTGGCCATGCTAAAATTTCCTCAGAAAGCAATTAAGTGCTAAGAAAGCATCCCTCTAAAGACTGGTCATGCCTTTCAGAATGATTATGAGCAACAGTGTCAATTTTTAACAGTGTCAATTTTATGGGTGAGTTTCCTTTGGGTGGAGTCCCTATTCAGCTTCTCACTGAGTTCAGCAGGCTTTGGAGTTCGCTTTGAGTGTCTTCTCTGGAGCTGTTTTAAGCAGTCTGAGTATTTGGGTTCCTGTCTTTGTTGGTAAAAGACCTGCAATTCAGCTGTGTTCTCCTGGGAAACAGGGATATGACTTTTGTGTAGGATATTTTAGACTAGTGTGGTGGCATTTTAGACTTTTTTTTTTATTATTTTTTTAACTGATGTTAGAAAGTTCATCAGTATCTTTCCAGTGCAGAGGTCTTCCTCTACAGTCAATCTGCAACAGCCTTGAGGTTGACCTGAATGTGGCTCTGGTTCCTGGAGCCCAGAGGAAGCAGATGCAGATGGGGATCTGATTTGCACAAGGCTTTGAGGGCTACCCAGCCTCAGGCCATACCAACCTTTTGCATATTAAAAAGAGAAAAAAAAAAACGGTTTTGGGGAGCTGCAGTAAGGCTGAATGTTATCATTCATTAACAGCAATGCTATTCCCAGAGAAGCAAACACTAGATTCTCTTCTGCAGCTGAGGAGGGTCTGGAGGAATGCAGAATTGCAGGCTAAACACAGGACGTGCTTTGGGGTCTTTCTGATGGACCTAGCCTGTCATTCCATGAGCAGAGGAAGGTCTAACAGTGGGAGGACATGACACAATGTTAGCTGTGATGTGAAAACAAGAAGAATGCAAGCTATCATTCCACCTTTCCAAGGGGCTCCTCATCTCAGCTTTATCTGAGCTGTGCAGTTCTGCTGGAGCTCAGCTTTAAATGCACTGGGACACAAAGAGATCAGCAGCTTTCACAGGTGGTGGTGGGAGGTCTGTAAGTACAGTGATATGGGAGTGTGACAGTAGGCAACCTCCAAAAAAAGTCCTGTGATTTGCGAGTGAGAAGATGGAAGAGTAAATCTGTATGGAAGTGAGAGAAGGTGGCAGGAGCAAAGGAGACTGAGAGAAGAAGGAGTCCCTGATCTATGGAAGGAAGACAAGCAGAACAGAGAGAGGGAGGAAAAAGGGTCTGGTGAATCTATCCTGTATCATAGCAAAGGTGAAGGAAAAGAGAAGAGTTTACTGAGAACTTCTGCTTCTCTGTCATACAGCACCAGGAGGTCTTGAGCAGATCTCCAGGGCTCAGGTCCATTTTAAGCAGGTGAGATAACCATGGCATGAATTGTCCTATAGCAAGGTGAGCTTTTTTTGAGGGATGAATGGCAGGCAGGCAATCAGTGAAAAGAATGAGGAGACCTCTGACTCAACACCAATCTGATTATCTCTAATCTATGTAAATCCCACCCACTGTCAGAATTCAGAACTGAGTTGTGATGCCAACAATGATAAGCAATACAGAATACATGGCAGACAGAATAAATTACTTTGATGCTCATTGTCCAGGTAGCAAAACTCTTTTCTGCCCAATGCTGTTGTCCTGTGTGCTATAATGCCATTACACATCTGAAGAAACTCCAGTCCTCAGTTGTGACTGTTTGTTCATTTTAGTGCTACCATGAAATTACCTGTGGAGCTTTCCAGAAAGGAGACATTCCTATCAGTTCTTAAGGAATAAGCAGATATCTTGGCCAATTACTTCTAGTTAGATTCAGTATAGATGTTCTAGGCCCATGGAGGTGTGATATGGTAAGAAATAAAATGTACCTAACAGTTCTTCCTTGCACATGAGATGTGATCTGGCTCCTTGCCCAATGTCACAGCCTTCAAGGGTCAAGTCTGTCTGTTTGTCTGTCAGTTATCCAACCCCCAAATTACAGGTTTGTATAATGTTGCCAAAGAACAAATGAATAGGAAAAAAACTCAAAGCAAAAAAATTCATGTCAGTATTTTCAAACTGACATCTTTTCATTTCGGCATACGAAATTTCTGTCATAGGAAATGAGAGCTGATGCGTAGAGTGGCAGTGGTAGTAGTACATGATATGGGTTTTTGCTTTGTTTGAGATGGGTCTTCTGTCCTCTGGAGGAGCATTTCAGTCACTGGACTGCAGAGCCTTTTGGGGCCAGGATCTCTCCAACTAGATCTGTTCTACCATGGCCAGGGAAACTTGCTACTTTTTACACTGAGGTGAATATCTTGGTCACACCTCTGAACCAAACAGTCTCAACATTTCCAGAGTCTCAACATCTCCCCCTCCAAATACACTCATACTTTACACTTGGTTTCTGTGCAAAATTGGAGGGATTCTCCAAAGCAAGCTCCTGGCATATGTTTTTCTTGCAGCAAAGATTCAGGTGAATGAGACCTTATCGCAAGCAAGGGGTGAGAAAAAGTCTGTGAAGGGATAGAGTGAGAATGGTGACAGATGGCAGAGGAGAGTTAGAACTCTATGATGTGCAAGGGGGGTGGAGAAGCAAGGGAGCAGAGAAAAGGGGGGAAAGTCTTTAGGTAGGATGAAGCAGGGGGCACAACCACCAAATCAGGAATAACCAGGCTCATAAGATGCATTGTGGTACATCAGAGTGCACATTCAGATGCAGCATTTGTCTTTCCTATTGGATGTTGTACAAAATATTGAAATATTCTCAGTGCAAAATAAATCTGTGGTCCAGTGACTGGTGACTGCTCCTGGGAGGGAGGTGATGCTCGGAATGAGAACCAAGAGGTGTCTCAGTTTCCTGCAGCTGAAATTAAACCCACTTTGTGAAATACCAGAGCTCTGTTTCCAGGTCTGTAGCTGCCACCTCACAGCACTCCTATGACTCTAGCTGTCCCTAGACTCCCTAAAAGCATTTTTAAAAAGAAAAAATGCCAAATGAAAAAATGGCTCTGGACTGAAATTAAAAAATTAATCAGCACAAAACAAAGTACAGGTTTCTTGATCTAGTAGAAATAAATGAGATTTTTATGTCTGATCCTCACCATGGTGGTGTTTTTAAAGTTCTAATCACTCTGTCATTGCTGTTTTTATCACTGCCTCCATGATAGTTCAAAAGCTCAGTGTGAATAAATCCACCTGCACAGCAAAAGCAGCTAGGCCCT